GTGACGGTCACTATCATTAGCAACATCGCTTCGTGAAACGTTCATTACCTTTAGGTATTAGAAAACTATTCAACACATTCTATTTTATGCCTTTACTCACATTGAAGGCCTTCAGACGCTCCGGGTCGTACTTGTGCGCGTCGAGGCGATCGTCTGACTCGTCATCGTCGTCCTCTTCATCGTCCTTGTTGCCGCTCGAGGAGGTCTCGTCGTGGACGGAGGAAGCATCGTGGCCGAGTGAGGAGCGGTCCACGGGGCTCTGCAACAGGAAAGGATCCACTTGAGTACTGCAGCACTCGACCACGACCTCATCGGGCCTCGCACCTCCACGCTAGGGTGGCCCACGGCAAAAAAATTATCAGACCGGCGGTTAGTTCATAAAGATCGAGATGACCCAAGCTCTGGGCATTCCAAAACCGCCCCGTTCGTCCCGATCGGACCCCGGGAACCACTCGCTCAACGTCTTTGCATTTTAACATGGGTTTCTTATGGGCTTTTGGGTGTAAAATCGAAAAACGACCCTGAAGAGTCAGAAAGCCACCACAGAGCAATATAATTATGAAATTCGTAATCTACGTTAAAAACTGAGTCTGGCAATGTAACGTACGTTACTGTAGCACCCAGTACCCAGATTTGCCAAGCTTTGAATATTCCCTCATTTTCCCAAATATGGAGATTTATGAGGGTTTGCAAATCTGGGTCCTAGGTGCTTCAGTAACAAACGTTACATTGCCAGATTCAGTTTTTAACGTAGATTACGAATTTCATAATTAGATTGCTCTATGGTGACTTTCTGACTCTACAGGGTCGCTTTTTGATTTTACACCCAAAAGCCCATAAGAAACCCATGTTAAAATGCAAAGACGTTGAGCGAGTGGTTCCCGGGGTCCGATCGGGACGAACGGGTCGGTTTTGGAATGCCCAGAGCATGGGTCATCTCGATCTTTATGAACTAACCGCCGGTCTGATAATTTTTTTGCCGTGGGCCACCCTACCTCCACGCCCTCATGCTCACCGTCTGCTCCAGCAGGCCGGGCGGGGTCGCCTTCTTGGCCGTGAGTGCCGCGTGGTAACTCCACAGCGCGGCCGTGGCGTTCAGGGCGGCAGTGGGGTCGTCGGCGACCGTGGTGCTTCCCGGCGACCGGTCCGACGACGACACGGAGGACAGGGAGAGGCGGAGGTCACCATTGCGACCTGCGAAGAGCAGAA